TGGGTAATATAACATAATTAAAAAGAGGACTTTTAAAGAGGCCCTCTATAGATAAAACATTCTTTTAGAGGACTTATATATTTATAGTTGATAGGTCTTCTATAGATCGAACAACGCCTACGGTATTATATAGACAGAGGATCTTCTACATATAGAACATAGGCAGAGAGGTTCCTTTACCCTCTGAAGTACAAAGAGAAGACCTTCCTAATTTTGAAGACTGAAGACTTTCTAATAGCTTTTACACAGACAGTAAACTATTGAAGGGCATTTTTATGTGTAAAGGCCACGTTGTGGATATGGAGACAATTAAGAAGACTGTTTTGAAAGTTTTTTTTCTAAGTATAGGAGACATTTTGGTAGGTCACTTTTAAAAGAGGGCAATGACCACATTCCAATTCCTAATTAATTTATTTAAAATTTATTGCCTAACCCTTAAACCTGACAATGGCACAAGCTACAAGGTTAACCAGCCCTCCCCTTTACTGTTCATTAAGGAACTAATTGTTAAAAAAAATTAATTTTTTTAAACCAATTGAACTTTCATTCAAATCGAAATTCAAAATCAAATTTAAAATAATTCCAAAGGCCAGAATTATGCGGGCAGTAATCAACAACAAAAACCATAAAATTACAATTTACACAACAACAACAACAAAACCAAAGAGTTCAGACACAAAAAATTGAATGGGCTCATTCAAAATTTTTTTTACAGAGTGACTGCCTGACTTTACGAATATCTGATACTTGTCTAAATAGCACTTAACTTGTGTTTTCCATACTTATTTTCTCTTTATCTTGAATTCTCTACCCCTCCCATCACCCAGCCTACCTACATACCTACAATTCAATTTTCTTGGAGTTTTTCCTTTGTGAATGCAATTAAACCCCCAAACGATTGCACTTAAAGTAATCGCAAACAAAAAACAAACACACACGGCTATACATCAGTTCAGGGCACGGAAACAGCTCGAAGAAAATTCTTAGAGCTCTGGCTCAAGTTGAGTAGGATGTGTATAGTTGCAGTGGCTGAGATGAAAACACTGATGAAAACGAAAGGAAAACAAAGATACGACACAGATAACAAAAAATAAAAGATTTCTGAGTTGAGTGGCTGCATAGCTAGCTGGATGGCTGGCTGGTCGGAATGAATGAATGCATGCATGCATTTAGAACAAGCGTTTCTGAACCCCACAAATCTTCTACGCATTATGGATGATCATCATTATTATGGAGATGGCGCTCAAGTGGTTGTCATCATTGTTGGTGTTGTTGTTGTTGCTGCCGCTGCCAATAGACAACAAATTGCAACGCATGCCAACCACTAGATAACTGGTGGCTGGGATGACTGACTGGCACCATCAGCTCCACAGTCACAACCACCACTCTGCCACCACCATCAAGCAAATACAAAGCCTGTTAAGCCTCAAACAAACAAATGTTTCCAGCCTCCATTCAGTTTCTCGGTTATACTGCAGCAGGAATATTCATATGCTAAATATATACAGTTTTTCCGCTACAATTTTCCAACATTTCCATATTACCCAACAATTCACCCACAATACAACAGAAACAGATTGCAGATTGTACCACCAGACCGAGGCAATTGAATACACGTATATCTACAAACAAACGCATCAATTGATTGATAAATTGAAAATCAATGTGCGTTGCGGATCAAAAACAAAGAAATGGGAAGGATGATGAAGAACGAGTTGGAGAAGGGGACAGAGGGTTGCAACGGAATATTAATAAATTTTTAATGGCTTTTTGGAGATCAATTACATGCGAACAATTATAGACATTATAAATATCAGATTAAAATTGAAATGCTAATGGACAAGGAAAAACGAGATTTTTACAGGGCGATGAGGGGAGAGGGAGAGAGGGACACAAAATAGCAGGAAAGAGTTCCGGTAGATCAAAAGATGAAAAATCATATTCAAAGGCGAAAACAAGCTGTAAGTTCAGCGGAGTCTATTTCTATATACGAACTGGACATATAGTATGGTTTGCTTCTATGGACGAACTGGACGAATCAGAGGAAAATATTTAAATAGACGAATTGAACGGATCATTGTAAAATATTTAAATAGACAAACTGGACGGACCAGAAAAAAATCAATTTAAAGACCAAATAGGACGGATCGACATTTGGTAGTTTATTTCTATAGACGAACTGGACAGATTGTGGAGTCTGCTTCCAGTACTAGATCAAAAGAAGTAAAATCACATTTAAAGGCGAAAATAACCTGGAAGTTCATCGCAGGCTATTTCTATAGACCAACTGGACATATGGTGTGGTCTGCTTCTATAGACGAACTGGACGAACCAGAGGAAAATATTTAAATAGACGAATTGAACGGATCATTGTAAAATGTTTAAATAGACTAACTGGAGGGACCAGAAATAATCTATTTAAAGGTGAAATAAGCTGGACGGGTCTACCTTTGTTTATTTCGAACTGGACAGATTGTGGAGTCTGCTTCTATGGACGAAGTTGACGGGCCAGTGGGAAATATTTACATAGGCGAGGTGTACTGAATTTTAGACCCCATTAAAATAAATGAATTATATGGATCATTGGAAAATATGTAAATAGACGGGTCAGTGTAGTCTACATAAATAAACGAAATGGTCGGAGCAGTGGAGTCTTTTTAAATAGACGATTTGGACGGACCAAAGGAAAATATTGAAATAGACAAATAGAGAACCAGCACTATTGAAGACCTTCTGAAATGTCTTCCACATAGAAAAAATTTTCTTAAGTCTTATATAGGTGTAAATATATCCAAATTATATTCTTACAGGACCCCTTAAAAGGAGTTCTGCGCATTGACGATTTTTTGAACTGAAAGGTCTCCTATATGGAAAAGACTCTCTCAGGTTTTCTATAGGTGTAAGGGTCTGCTAAAAGCTCTTAAATATCTTCTGAAATGTCTACTATGAAAAAATGTCCTCATGTCAGGTACTGGGATTTTTTTTTCTGTAAAAAATTGTTAATTGTTATGGAGATAGTTTTTTTTACAAAAATCTTCAGAGTCTATTTTTTAGAAAAATCCTCAGTGACTTAAGGACTGTTTTTCTGAAGAAAAATTTGGGGACAAAAAACCTCTGCGGTTAAGGGTGTTTTTTTTTCAAAAATTTTGTAATGGAATAGTTTGATCACACACCTTTATAGCCTTGTCCCAGCCAACCAAAACTGACTTAGGGTGTGTTCCCCTAGAACAAAAACAAAAAAAAAGGGGGGGGGGGGGTAATCCTCTTGGTTAGGGGGATTTTTTTAAATGTCTTAGTGGAAGTCCGAAGAAAAAAGTCCTCTACGAAGTTGTCAATTTCTAAAAGGTGCGTCCACAGGTGTCGGATACGGGTAATGGTGATGATCACACTAATTTATTACAAGCAATAAAATCTTGAAGAAATGGGATCGACCATATTTAGGTCCTTGTCACAGCGGACCAAAACTGACTTTGGCGATGTTCCCCAGAACCAAAAAAAAACCAACATGGAAAGTAGGAAGAAGAAGTAAGTTTTGGTACAGAGACCACGGGGAAAAGAGCAATTTCGAGCAAACCATCCGAAACAGACGGGGACTGCAACTCAAATTCGGAGTCTGAACACGAGGATAAGACTAACACAACCACCGTAAAATACTGGAGGAGCGAAGAGGCGGATAAGAACAGGAAAGAAACAGTTATCTGGATCACAGAGGCGAAATTGGCCCAGATGCACTGACGGAACAAACGCGAACAGAAATCTGATGCTCTGAAAGATAAAACTGATCTCTGATCTGTCTGATTGGAAGCGTAGAAGAGGATTAGAGCTCCGGAAGAGCAGACTAACGCTAAAACCGCAAAAAAGGAGCATTCTGTCGTCTGATATAAAAAACAGAGGGAGACCCAATCCGAAGTCTAAAGAGACTGCCATGAAAATTCATCAACTGCGGTGAAGCAAGCTGTAATATCAAGAAGACGAGCTAGGATTTGAAATCTTCATTAAATACCAGGAATCCCAAAATGACTAACCACTTTGCGAAAGAGGAAATGGAATAGTAACAATTGGTACAAAAGTTATCAGGAGGCGACGAATATTGTGCATCCAGAAAATTAAAAATAAGGTGATGGGTGCACCTGCTGCAAGGGACCCCAGCGATCCGGATATATGAAAACTCAAAAAGGACTATACAACGCTAAAATTCGAATCATCAAAGAGCATAGAAGCCCTTAGGAAACTAGTACCAAGTATTATATCCATAAGCGATGAGGAAAAGAGATATTCCTCAATTACAAAAGGCGACCGTCTTGGTCATAGGTTGGGATACAAGCTCAAAGTCTGTAGTCTGTAGAAGTGTTGGTGAAGAAGTGGAAGTCTTCCACAGGGAGCAGAACGAAGAAGGGGCTCTCCTAGTGATAGGCTTTGACAGGTCTTCAATGGCAAGTCTGGACTAAACGCCCAATACTATAATATTCAAGATGGAAGGCAATGCTTGGAGAGGAAGGGAAGGAAAGTGTTTTTAGTTTTTTTAGCTGTTCCAGCAGGAAACCTTCCACGCTTTGGAAGGCAAAGAATGTAGCAGTAACTAAAGTGTGGAAGATGTAGGATTTAGATCATTCACGGTTAATAATATTTTTAGCATGTCCAGCTGGTAATCTTCCGAATAGATACACTTTGTTTTTGGTTAAGGGAACAAAATTTTTCCTACTTACATAGAGCACTTTTCGGCATTAATATTTTAATCATGTTGAAATATGTTAAATCATGTTGAAATATGTTATCGAGGTCTGGTAGTTTAAAATAATTTTAAGGTTAAGTCAAATCTTATGGTTCAGGAACTCTTATAAATCTTAAAATATTTATAAACTGATTTATTTACTTCTTATTCTTCTTATAACTTCTATTGAATTTCAAATCTATTCTCAATATTCTCAGCATTAAAAATATTCAATATCCAAATAATTTATATAAAATAAAAAAATAGGAAACATAAACTTGCCACCTACCTTAAACATCAATGGATTCCGTTCGATTTCAGCTTCAGCACTCTCGCACAACGATTCAGATTCCGATAGGAATGCCAAAAATTGATCCATGGCACGATCGAAGGATTGGAGACTGTGTACGGCGGCATGCAATTGCTTGCCACGATTAATGACACCATTATTGAGATTGGCATATCTAGAAATGGGAGAAAAGGATTGGGTGCACAATTTTCAAATAAAGAAATTGAATAAATCTCTTCGGTACATACCTTTGATTAATGGCTTCAGTCATTTTCTTGATGCGTGTGGTATCATCTGCCGGATAGACGGCAATTAGCTTTTGAGTCAATGTATTGAATATTTCAAATTGCGGTTTGTTTTGATGCAGCTCGGCGTGGAAGGACTGGAAAAGGAGAAGTGGGAAAAAATAAATAATTATATTATTCATAATTTATGAAAACTATAGAACTTGGATCAGAATTCCTCAGACCCCTCAGTTCACTGAGGATTTTTTTCTATAGATACTGAGAATTTTTTTTCCTGTAGAAAATCTCAGATACAGAGTATTTTTTCTGTTTAAAAACTCTCCTCAGCTCACGTAGCAATTTTTTCTATAGAAAAAAGACTCCTCAGCTCACTGAGAATTTTTTTTTTCTATAGAAAAAGGACTCCTCAGCTCATTGAGGAATTTTTTCTATAGAAAAAAGACTCTATAGAAAAAAAGACTCCTCAGCTCACTGAGGAATTTTTTTCTATAGAAAAAGGACTCTATGGAAAAAAGACTCCTCAGCTGACGTAGAGGATTTTTTTCTATAGAAAAAAGACTCCTCAGATAACTGAGGAATTTTTTTCTATAGAAAAAAGACTCCTCAGATAACTGAGGAATTTTTTTCTATAGAAAAAAGACTCCTCAGATAACTGAGGAATTTTTTTCTATAGAAAAAAGACTCCTCAGATAACTGAGGAATTTTTTTCTATAGAAAAAAGACTTCCTTACGCGAACTGAGGAATTTTTTTCTATAGAGAAAAAGTCTTCCTCATGCGAACTGAGGAATTTTTTTCTATAGAATTCTATTTCTATAGATTTCTATAGAAAAAAGACTCCTCAGATAACTGAGGAATTTTTTTCTATAGAAAAAAGACTCCTCAGATAACTGAGGAATCCTCAGCTCACTGAGGATTTTTTTTTAAAAGACTACTCAGATCACCGAGGATTTTTTTCTATAGAAAACAGACTCCTCAGATCACTTAGGAATTTTTTCTATAGAAAAAACACTCCTCAGCTCAGTGAGGAATTTTTTTTTTCTATAGAAAAAACACTCCTCAGCTCAGTGAAGAATTTTTTTCTACAGAAAAAAGACTCCTCAGCTCGCTGAGGAATTTTTTTCTATAGAAAAAAGACTCCTCAGCTTATGGAGAATTTTGTTTTATGGAGACTTTTTACAGATCACTGAGGATTTTTTTTAATATAAAAAATCTCCAATTCAACTTTGTTTCTATAGAAATAATCATTAGTCTCTGTAGAATTGAGTCTCTCATTTTCTTACCTTCTGTTCTTTTTGCTGGGCCTCCAAGATATCAGCAGTGGTGGCCACGGTGCCCATACGTTCGGCACGAGCTTCCATGCGCTGCAGCCATTTTTCAAGTTCCAAACGTTTGGCCTCATATCTGAAATAGGAAAATTTACAACATTTCGTATTTCCACTCTAAAATTCCCTTCCCTCAAAATCTTACCTTTGTGAATCGCTCAACATGCTCTTTAACTGGGCAGCTCTTTGCAGAACACATTGTGAGGTTTCATCCCAGTGTTCACGTAAACGGGTGACTATAAAAATTATGGGAAATAAGCAAGTAATTACATTTTCAAATTAGTGAAGGAATAAAATACGGAATTGAAAAATTTAAAAAATGTGCTGAAATGTTTTGAATTAAAAAATATTACAAAAAAATATTGAATTAAAACCTTGTTTTGGAAACACCCTGTAGTTAAGTTGGGGGTTTAAGTTTGGGTTTTTTATTTTATTTATTGTGAATTGTTTTAAGAGGGCTGTGTAAAACACCAGGGTTGATTAATTTTGTACTATATTTTCCTCTCAATTGGGTAAACAAAATCAAATAACCACAAGTGATGGACAAAGTGGTGATAATTTGGTTTAAGAAAAAATACATGCTCTAAAATTAGTGGTAAAAAAGTTAGGTTAGGTATTGGTGGCAGCCTGTATTCAGACCTTTTGCAGTTAGACAATGCCTTGCTGGATTAGCTAAGCCGTAAACCACGACCATCACCCTGTGGTGAATTGTGGCATTATTTGTGATTTGGTAGTACTTTTTGAGGTTATGTTTTGTTTTTCGTATTATTGAGGTTATGTTCAGATTATTAATTTTTTGCTTTATTATTTATTTTTTATTAATTCATTAATACATATTAACGAAGGCACTGTGTTAACTGATCTTTTTTTTTAGCTGAGGAATGCAAAATGGGTTTTTTGTTTTGAAAATAATGAACTTTACCTTTCAGACAACAACGCATATAATCCAATTCGGCGGAACAATGCGGTGCTAACGAAAATTGTTTCAATTCTAATAGAAATAGAAGGAAAGATTTTCAGTATCATAACAATATTTGAACATGCTTAGTTGGTAAGGATATTTTTTATGGCGAAAAAAGTCTTATTTTTTTAAACAAATGTCGGGCAGGAGGTGTGGTGAATATTGGTATGATAGAGGCTGTGGCAATGTTAACAAGTCGATGGAATAGTGCCAGGCAAAATATATGTGAAGGGGGTAAATGGATTAACTATTTTAGAATGCTGGATTTTTAATGTAAATATTTCCCAAAGATTTATACGATATGAATGGAACATCGGAGATATCGCGACACGATAAATGTTGAAATTACCCAAAAATGACAAATAACACAGATGTTTAAGCAGACAAGCACACATGAAAAATTAATAAAACGAAGTTAGAAATCTACAGCCATTCAGCTCACTGAGTGCCAAAAGAAGTCCTCAGTGCTCTGAGCTTACTTTTTTCAATACAAAAATCATCAGTGACCGGAGGACACTTCTCCTGAAGAAAAACATCCTCAGAGAGCTGTAGACTTTTTTATATAGAAAAGCTTCCTCAGTGAGCTGAAAAGGCTTTTTTCTAAAAAAAAATCCTCAGCTGGCAATAGAAAAAATTCCTCAGTGTCTGTAGATTCTTTTATCTTTAGAAAAAAATCTGCAGTACCTATGATGACTTTTTCTATAGAAAAAAAATCCTCAGTACTCAGTATTCTAAGGACTTTTTCTTCTATAGACAAACGAGTCCGCAGAGTACTGAGGAATTTTCCTAAGTACTCAGTACTCTGAGGACTCTTTTTTCTATAGAAAAAAATCCTCAGTACCCTGAGGAGTCTTTTTTCATAGAAGAAAAAATCCTCAGTACTCTGAGGACTCTTTTTCTATGGAAAAAAATTCCTCAATATGCTGAGGGCGTTTTTTTCTATAGGAAAAAATTCTTAGTTCTCTGAGGACTCTTTTTCTATAGAAAAAAAAATCCTCAGTTCTCTGAGGATTCTACTCTTTTTTCTATAGAAAAAAATTCCTCGGTACTCTGAGAACTCTTTTTTCTATAGAAAAAAATTCCTCAGTACTCTGAGGACTCTTTTTTCTATAGAAAAAAATTCCTCAGTACTCTGAGGACTCTTTTTTCTATAGAAAAAAATTCCTCAGTACTCTGAGGACTCTTTTTTCTATAGAAAAAAATTCCTCAGTACTCTGAGGACTCTTTTTTCTATAGAAAAAAATTCCTCAGTACTCTGTGGACTCTTTTTTCTATAGAAAAAAATTCCTCAGTACTCTGAGGACTCTTTTTTCTATAAAAAAAAAAAATTCATCAATACTCTGAGGACTCTTTTTTCTATAGAAAAAAATTCCTCAGTACTCTGAGGACTCTTTTTTCTATAGAAAAAAATTCCTCAGTACTCTGAGGACTCTTTTTTCTATAGAAAAAAATTCCTCAGTACTCTGAGGACTCTTTTTTCTATAGAAAAAAATTCCTCAGTACTCTGAGGACTCTTTTTTCTATAGAAAAAAATTCCTCAGTACTCTGAGGACTCTTTTTTCTATAGAAAAAAATTCCTCAGTACTCTGAGGACTATTTTTTCTATAGAAAAAAATTCTCAGTACCATGAGGAGTCTTTTCCATAGAAAAAAAATCCCCAAATCCTCCTTTTTCTATAGAAAAAAAACATCAGTTCTCTTAGCACTCTTTTTCTATAGAAAAAATCCCCAGTTCTCTGAGGACTATTTTTTTATATAGAAAAAGGTGTTCTTTCTAAAAAAAAAATCCCCAGTAACAAATACTTCAAAGAGAGCCTTTTTCAAATTTCGTTGCAGAAGTTTTTGTTTTAAATAAAAATTAAAAAAAAAAAAATATATGGAACTAAAAATCTCGATTTTTATTGAATGACAATTTCATACCCGGCATTTGTGGACTCTGAGCCAGTTGAGTCTCATCGTGCGACGAACGACGCCTCAAGCGCATTTCTTCTCGTGTCAAAGCGGCCACAGCTGAACCTTGAGCCGCTGCTACTGCCGCAGCTGCTGCCCTTGACTGAGCTTGATGTTGTAACAGAGCAGCAGCAGCCGCGGAACCAGGTCCCTGTCCTGTATTGTGCACCACATTTCCTGGTATATTACCCAATAATTGTTGACGAATATGCTCCCTAAACTCCGAACTTAAAGGCATGGGACCTCCTGCTGTTCCCGTTCCCGCGCTGGTTGCAGCACCTGGTGCCGTTGGTGGTACCGCTTGACCAGGTACTGGAACTGGTCCTGGTACAGGGGGTTTATTGAAATCATTACTATTCGTGGTTGGAACATGCGAACGATGACGACTGTATTGTAGCTCCAATGGTAAATTACGATCCAGCGAACGCATGTGATGTTCAATGGTAGAACGCATGGCCTGTTGCTGACTCTGTTCCAATTGGCTAAGATTATTGGTGGAGGAATTTTGTAAGGCTTGAGCCCGCAATTGTTTAATTTCTTCAATAGATTGCCTGGCTGCGGCTGCTGCATTTTGTACGGAATTTTCATCTAAGGAGAGATTGCGCTCATAGGCTGCTGCCCGAATATTTACTGCGGAGACATGGCGGTTGCCGGAACTGAGTGCGGCCTTGAATTGCATATCGAAATTATTTTGTGCTTCAAAGGAACGTAAATTCATTTGTTCTTGCATGGCTCGTTCCATGTTGCGCAGACCACTTTCAATACCCCGTAAAGCGTCCTCGGAACCAAAATCCTCTGTCGGGGAGATTCGCGAAGACGAGGATGCCGATGATGAGGCTGTGGAGGATTTCTTGACATCACTGGCCCTTGTTGGGGCGGGAGAGGGTACATTTTTGTCTAGAGGAATATCAAAGGGGTTGGATGATCTTTTGGGTTCTGGCTTTTCTGGTGGTACAGGGGGTTTATCCTTAAATTTCGCCATCGATAGTGGTGAGTTTTGTGCGCTATTTTGTGCTGAGCTTTGTGCGGATGCTGGTTTACGCGGCAATGGTGGCGGTTGCCTTCCAGGTGGTGGTAAATTAAAACCATCCGGGAGACTTTTGAGACTATGACGTTTGGGTGGTATTTCAGGTGGTGTAGAACGATCTGAAGAACGGGCCGGTATTGCAGGAACTGGTTTGTTATGTTGCGGCGGTAATGGTGGGGGTTGAGACCCTGCCGGTTTTGGTGGCAAATGCAATGGAGGTTTCACACTGCCACCACCCATCCCCATGGGTGTGGGATGTTCCTCTTGCGAAGATTGTTTGCGCAAAATTTGTTGTGCCCTGATGGCAGCTTGTGCAGCTAATTCCGAGCTTAGACGTGGTATTTCGGAGGACATTTTAGGCATATCACTATCATTGGCTTTGGCAGTCATGTTGCTGTTGTTTTTGTTATTTTATAAAGATATGTTGATTTTTGGAATTAATTTTCAATTTTCAAATTCTGAACACTTGCAATCGGATGTGCGTTGCTGGTTTTGTTGTTGTGGATTTTTGGGATATGTTATTTGATATTTTGTTGTAGTTGTTATTTGTATTGGATATGGATGTTGATTTATTGATATGATGATTGTTTCACAAATATTTGAGTTTAAACATTGTTTGCGGTATTTTCATTATTTTGAAGTATACTTTTAGGATTGAATTATTTTATAAATTGGTTGCATATTTTTAGGTGTATGGATTTCTTTTGTGTTCATCAATACACTAACTCTTCACTACAATCAGAAATATTTAAATTAAATTTTAATGTTACTCACACGGATATTATAATAATATTTTATTCACATTTTTATTGCATACTTTCAGGTGTGTTTTTTTTTTGCATGTGGCATATGTTGAGGTAATGTAAACGAACATAATCATATGTTAAGTCAATATTATGGTTCTAAATGTTATATTTACACTGCATACATAATGGAGAAAATATTTTCATTGCATACTTTAGGGGGAAGGCAAACTAAAAATAATTTATTTGATTCAGAAAAAATCTCCAATAGCAGAGAAATTTATTGCTAGAACTGAGAAGAATTGTTCGGCAGTACGCCGGGGAAAATCTCAGTGGTCTCAGGAGTTTAGTTCTAGAAGATTTTTATAGAAAAAATCAGACTTCGTGCCCTGGGTCTACTCAAAAGTTTATGATTTTTATACCCTACACAACTATGTTGTCAGGGTATTTTAGCTTAGTGCAGCCCCAAAAGTTTATAACGCCGCGAAATATTGGTCCTAGACCCACCATTAAGTATACCGGACGTCATATCTCCACTAGCTGAGTCGATGTAGACATGTGTGTCCGTCCGTCTGTTCATTATAATTTGTAAACACGATACAGGCCACAGTTATGGACCAATCTTCACAATGAAGACCCCTATTGTTTTTGGAAAAGATCGGTTAATATTTAGGGGATGAAATGGACCAAAAACTTTATTTTTGTCGCTTTTTCTGGTTCTTGCATGGCCCAGAGAATAAGCATGCCTGTTTTCATAAAGATCGGTCAATATTTAGCGGGTCAAATGGACCCTGACTTTTGTGTGAAAAATGACAAAATTTGTATTTTATACGCTTTATATATAGTCCTGAAGGACATAGAGCCGAGAAGTTGATAGTATATCCAAGAGGAGTGGTTGACCTTTGAATTGATACCAATTATATTGTCGTATGTACTCGGATGTGGGAGTTACACTTAAATATTTACAGGTGCTTACGTATTCATATAGTATTTAGTAACCCATTACCACAATAGAGGGCGGAAATATAGTGCTGCTCGCTTTGAAATTTTCCATGGGGATCCTGGTATGATAATAATATTGGGATGAAGTGGACCGAAAACATATTTTTTGTGTTTTTCGAATCGATTTATAGGCCTAAATATTAGTCATATTCGAAAAAAAATGTCTGTGTAAGGAAGAGGTGCTGATGACCTCTAAACGGGCAAGAGGGTGCAAATATCACGAAATATTGCCCAGGCTTGGAAAACACATCCACAGAAAGTTAGAGTTCAGTTGAAGTAGTGTTCATATGGTCGGCACCGTCCGACTAT